CACACCGGGTACATGTGCGTGCGTGCCCAAGATCCTGAGAGGAGCAGGGATTGCGGCATGGGCACGCCCCCCTCCCAGTGGGGGCGATTTCTTGCTTTCTCTCTCTGTCTGTCTGGCGAGCACACACACCCTATAGCAAAAATCTCTCAAAAAATAATACCTGTTGGAGTGCCTCTCTCTCTCTCTCTCTCTCTCTCTCTCTGTCACACACACACAGAAGAACTAAATTACTTTTTTTAAAGCAGAAGGAACAAAATAAAATATACATTAGGAAGAATAAATAAGTCATTATTGAACTAATTTATTCACTTAACATTCAGTTATGGGGGGGTCACTAAACACCAAGTGTCGATATTTAAGGGCTTACCAGGGAAAAGGCCTCCTGAGGCATCGGCTCCTGCTGAGGTTTGTGGTGGGTGGAAGATGCTGGGGGAGGCCCTAGTGCTTCCCTGGTGTCGAAAAGGAAGAAATAACAATGCGCAGGGGGACCAGTAGTTGGCATAATGGCTATGTTGCTGGACTCCCATGTAGTCGACCACGGTTCAAGTCTTGGACCCGGTGACTTTAACTCACGCTGGGCACGTGTGCATGCGTGCTCAAGATCCTGAGAGGAGAATAGAGGAGAAGGGATTGTAGTGCGGTCATCCCTCCGGGAGATAATTTCTCACTTTCTGTCTTTTTTGTGAGCGCACATGCCCTATAGTAAAAACCTCTCAAAAAAAAAAAAAAAAGAACAAACAAACAAAAACAAAAACAAAAAAAAAAACAATGTACAGTAACACTGTCACATGGCACCCCTGGCTTATGTGGCATTCTGTTCTTGGTGTGCTCGTCTTGTCTTCATTTTAACCAAGGAGACAATGGAAGACACTGCCTTTTACTACGTAATCGACATGGAGGCAGCTAGCCCCTTGGGTGTTTCTGAGGCTCAGAAACCACACACCCTCTGGTCTGCCATGTCTCCTTGATAAGTCGGCCTCCAGAGGCTGACTGCAGTTATGGTTATGCCACCGCCCGGCCACATCCCTAGAGAGAACGCCTTCTTCCAGCACCATCTGCCTTAGGTCACATGGGGATTCGTGGCAGGCACATGATAGCTTCAGCTCTACCAAGGTTTCAGGTCATTGCTCTCTGCTCTTCTCCCCAAACCATGACTGGGCGCACTGCCAAGCTCCCTCTGCAGCTCAGATGGGCATCCCTTCAGCTGCTAAGAGAACTGCAGACCAACGCATCACTCCCCCAGTGTCAGGATGTAATTCTCCCTCACACCTAGTGAGAGAGAGTTTGGGGCGTTTGTCCGTTAACAAGGTCATCAAGTTTCCCCTCGAGGTAACTGCATAGGATTAACAAACAGCCCAAGGTGTTTCATTCCTCCTGTGAGACATGCCCTCCTGTCTGCCCCGAAATGAGCCAGACTGGCTGATGGAATTCCACTAAAACAAAAAGCCCAGATCAACCATTGCTTCCCCTATGAGGTGTTCTTTACCGCTCAAGCTAAATTCTAACCATCTTTTTTTCTTTCATAAGAAATTAAACATCCACATCACAGAACACTGCTCACAGTTTTATAAGTTGTGTATTTTTCTTTCTCCTTTTTTTTTTTGGTTTGGGAATTAGAGAATACCTGAGGGCTGGACTCTGCCTTCATAGGTGGGTATGGAAGTGAGCAGGAAGCTTGGCGTAGAGGAAGTACCAAATGATTACGATGTAAGCGAAATACAGTTTAAGCCAATCACTTAAAGCTGACTTGGCCTCTTATATCATATTTCCCCAATCTTTTTTTAAGTTCGTTTGTTTATTTCTTCTGTGAGTGAGACAGGGAGGAAGAGATAGAGACAGGCGCCCTCAACAGGCTCCACTCCTCAGCTTCAGCCGGCCCGGGTCATGGTCCCGCATGTCCACCCAATGTATTCAGGGGAGGTTCTGGGTCCCGCAACCAGCACCTTCCCATGGGGTTCAGCCTCGTGCAGCTTCATGCAGCATTGCACAATTGCTTTATCCACATGGCTCAGACGCTGACTCCCTGGTGTGATCTAATTCCCGTTATAAATCGTATTTGAATCGGACCAAAATGAAACCTTTTAAAAATATTTACAAATGGGAACCAGCAGTTAGCATAATGGCTATGTCGCTGGACTCCCACGTAGTCGACCGCGGTTCACGTCCCGGACCCGGTGGCTTAAAACTCATGCTGGGTGCATGTGCGTGCGTGCCCAAGATCCCGAGAGGAGAATGGAGGAGAAGGGATTGCGGCGTGACCATCCCCCCTGGGGGGTGATTTCTCGCTTTCTGTTTCTATGTCTCTCTCTGTCTGTCTGGTGAGCGCACGCGTCCTATAGCGAAAACCTCTCCAAAAAATAATAATAATAATATTTACAAAAAAAGAAAGGATATTGATTTACTATATGACACACTTTATAGGTATGGGGAACAGTGATATTACATTAGATTTAGCTGAAATTTGAAAAAACAAAGCAGTTATTTTATAAATTGCATATACATGAATTTGGTCACTTAAGGTAACAGCCTCATCCATGATACCTGTAGGCTCACCATTCCTCTTGCTCAAGAACTGAATCTCTGTCAGTCTTCCAATTCCATGAGAAATTACGTTTTTTAAATAGGTCTCTCTATCTCTCTCTGTTTTTGAGAAGTTTTGTTTTGTTTGTAGGGCTTGCCAGAGAGAGAGAATGAGAGAGAGAGAGAGAGAGAGAGGGAAAGTGAGAAATCAACCCCCGGGGTGATGGCCTGCCTCAATCTCTTCTCCATTCACCTCTCGGGAACTTGGACATGCACGAACACAGGCCTGGCACAATTTTGAAGTCACTAGGTCTGGGACTCGAACTGCAGGCCGTCATGTGGAAGTCCAGCGACACAACCACTGTGCCATCTGATGGCCCCTAAATAGGTCTTTTTCATTTTTCTTTTTTCCTTTTTCCGTTTTTTTTTTTTTTTTTTTTTTGCTATAGGGCACGGGCGCTCACCAGACAGACAGAGAGACAGAAAGTGAGAAATCACCTCCCGGGGGGATGGCCACGCCACAATCCCTTCTCCTCCATTCTCCTCTGGGGATCTTGGGCACGCATGCACACATGCCGGGCGTGAGTTTAAGTCACCGGGTCCGGAACTCGCACCGTGGTCCCACTACATGGGAGTCCAGCGATATAGCCATTATGCTAACTGCTGGTGCCAGGTCTTTTTCTAAGTATGTGAAAAAGAAAAGTAATTTAATACATGATGAGTTGCGGGGTAGAGAACATAGTAAGATTAGAGTCAAACTATTTGAAATTTAAAAACAATGCTATGAAGATCTCGGTATACAGAAGAGGATTAAAGGAAAAGATGCAGAGTTGGTTCAAATGAAAGAAAATAGATTTTACTTCACTGTTAATGATTTCTATTTGAAAACAGGCACCATGAGAGACTACTCCCTATTCTTTGACTCTGGCTTGTATCCTAATACTCTGTAAAATACCTAAAACCCATGAAGCGTTTAGTGACCACTTTTCTTTTCTATTCCTTTCCTTTCTTTTTATGTGTGTCTGATACAATTTGCCGGACAGCATGTGCTCTCACTTGATAGAAAGAAAGAGAGAAAGCACACTACAAAAGGTGTGGGCACACTGCAATCCCTTCCCCTCTGTTTTTCTCTCGTTTTGGGATTTAGGGCATGGACACAAATGTGCCTGGTATATTTCTCACACCATCAGTTTTTGGATATGAACTACACAGTCAGTCATGTGGGATCCAGCTACAGGGCACATGCGCTCACCAGAGAGACAGAAAGTGAGGAATCACTCCGCCCAGAGGGGATGACCACTCCACAATCCCTTCTCCTCCATTCTTCTCTCAGGATCTTGGGCACACATGCACACATACCCGGTGTAAGTTTTAAGCTGCCTGGTCTGGAACTTGAACCACAGTGAATTACATGGAAGTCCAGCGATATAACCATTAAACCATCTGCTGGTTCTGGTTAAAGATATTCTTACATGTCTTCCCAGCGTGGCTCCATTGTAATAAATTCTCTCTCAACAATTTTGTCTCTGTGTTTTATTGAGCAGTGAAGGGTTGAACCTGCTTTGGGTACCTGAACTGGGAGTGTAAATCTCTTCATCCAACAACAAAGCCATACCTATTAACAAATGACGGAAAAAAAAATGTCTAAAACAAACTTGCAACATCGGGATGTTAGATCTAATCTAGTATACAATGGTAGCAATTTAATCTTCTCTTCGTGTTAAAGAAAGATGCATACTGTTAGGAGTACTCGTTTCCGTCACCTGGAAACAAATCATGTCGCGTCCTGCTATAACTAAATCAAAGCCTGATTAGATTTAAGAAGGTATGGCATTCCTTTTAAGAAGGTATGGCATTCTTGGGAGGCGGGAACCTTGCCAATAAAAGGCCTTCTCCGGTGCCTTTCCCACAAGACCTGAGCAGCTGGTGGAGACGGGTGGAGACAGCAGGAGGACACTGATTTTCGGAGAAGAGGTGAGTCTATGTGCTTGCATTTTCTTTTTCCATCTCTGTCTAGAAACCACAGCTATGATGGAGGAAGATGAGAGGCGTTCAGTAATAAACGAGTTCAGCAAATGCCATGTGTTTGTGGACTCAGGGTTTGAAAAGTGATCTAACTACAGGGGCGGTAGGCAGTAAACTTGGTATTCAGTTCCAAGGCTGCAGAAAGGATATATTTCTCATTTTCATAAGGCAAATCGTTGCTCGGGTTACTCTAGAAAATGTTGAAATGACACCACCCTCACTGCTTCTCACATAGAGGTTGCCATGTAGCGTGTGCAGGCATGGCCGTTGGCACAGCTAGAAGGCATCCGTGAGCATGCCCGCCCCCCCACCTAGATCAATGCACAACCATGATTCGTAACTCACTTTCCAAATAGGACTTCAAGTCTCTGAGGGCAGTGAGCATGCGCTTTGGTAGGTGCCCTCTCATGGTCTTGTTCATTCAACTCACGGAAATTCCCTTCCCATGTGCATTTTTTCCCGGCAGTGAACATGGCTGGAGTCATCGAAGCAATGAGCAGATGTTCCCTCTGCACAAACTATCTTGAAAAACCAATCTCCCTGAGGTGTGCTTGCAGCCTCTGTCTCACCTGCTTCATGTCAGCACGGATACCCCCGGAGGGTTTCCTGTGCCACTTCTGTGGTGTGGTTTCTCAGAAGGATGACTTCAGGCTCAATCGTCAGCTGGGGAAGTTGGCCTCCACGCTCAAGGAACTGGAGCCCCAGCTGAGAGCTAGTCTATGGATGAACCCAAATATACGGAAGTTCCAAGGTAAGGAGTCTGTACACCCTGCCCCTTCCCCCTGTGGGACCAGGAAAAATCACCTGTGGAGGCTCTCCATGCCAGGTGGGGGTCAGCGGGTGTCCGGCACCTAAAACTGGAATGTTTCTCTAGTCTCAGTGGTTCTCTGCCGTGACAACACATAGAATCACAAAAAATATTGATGTCTATGTCATGGCTTAGACAAGGACTTCTCAAAACAGTGCTCAAATTACCTGGGGATCTTGGTAGAATGGAGATTCTTCTTTTTTTCTTCCAAATTTTTTTTTAAATATATATATACATACATACATTGACACTTTTTAAAAAAAGAATTATTTATTTATTTTATTCCATTTGTTGTTATTATTATTATTTTTTAATTTAACCAGACAGAGAAAGAAAGAGATAAAGAAAGGGAAAGTGAGAAAGCAAGCCACCAGGTCTGGGACTCGAACCACAGTAGGCCATGTGGGAATTCAGTGCCTTTAACCACCATGCCACCTGTCAGCCCCAACTGGGAGATTTCAGGACTATTGATCCTGCTGGTTTAGGGGTTATTGTTAGAGTAACAAAAACTTACAGCAGGGACCAGCAGTTAGTGTAATGGCTATGTCACTGGACTCCCATGTAGTCGACCGCGGTTTATGTCCCGGACCCAGTGGTTTAAAACATGCCGGGCACGTGTGCATATGTGCCCAAGATCCCAAGAGGAGAATGGAAGAGAAGGGATTGCGGCGTGGCCATCCCCTCTGGGGGGTGATTTCTCGCTTTCTGTGTCTCTGTCTGTCTGGCGAGCGCACACGCCCTATACCAAAAACCTCTCCAAAAAATAAAATAAAAAAAAAAGCAAAAACTTACAGCAACTGCGAAAGTGAATTTTAAATCCCCAGGTAATTCTAATGTGCAGTAATATTGGCACCCACTGCAATAAATGACCTCATACTAGGGTTCAAGAGCTAATTCACCATCAGCAGAGATCGATCACTGGTGTCTTAATTTAATCTACAAAATCTACATCGGTGATCACATCCATATTTGGTCTTGAAGGTTAATAGAAGAGATCTTCAAAAGAGTATAGAAAACTGTATTATGAAAAACTATGCATTTTGATTTTTTTTTTTTTTTTGCACCACAATAAACTTGTTCTTTAATTCCAATTCTCCACGGACTTTTTGAAGTCTCCTTATATGTTCTGTGAATATTTTTTTCTCAGAATGTTGCAGACACAAATCTAGACCAAATCACATCCTTCCTTTCTTCCTCTTGTATTAAAACTGGGAGCTTTACCATGTTTGGCTTAGCTGCTTGCGTTTCTCTCTGCAGTGGATATGACCCTGGATGTTGACACGGCTAACAACTACCTCCTCATTTCCAAAGACCTCAGGAGTGTCCAAGGCGGGCATATCAAACAGAACCGGCGACTGCTTGCTGAGAGATTCGACTTAGCAGTTTGTGTCCTGGGCTCTCCTCTCTTCACTTCTGGCCGTCATTACTGGGAGGTGGACGTGGGAACCAGCACAGAATGGGACCTGGGAGTCTGCAAGGAATCTCTTCGCCGACAAGGACGGATTCCGCTGACTGCAGAGCACGGATTATGGATCGTGAGTTTGAGGGCTGGAAGTCGTTTATTTGCCAGCACAGTGCCTAAGACTAAGCTCTGGGTCAACTACCAGATACACCGAGTGGGGATTTTTCTGGATATGGACATGGGAACCATTTCCTTCTTCCACGTTGAAGTCAGATCCCATCTCTTCACATTCACGGGAATTCCCGTCAAGGAGCCTCTACGCCCGATGTTTGCCCCTTCAATCCCAACTAATGGTGACCAAGGCGTCCTAAGTATCTGTCCTATGATGAACATTTGAGATCTCTGAGACACTGAGATCTCCAATCTATCCAAGGCAGGATGAACAAGCCTTAAATAAGACAGAAAATTACTTGGTAGTTAGACCCAGGAACTTGCTGCTTGGTACAGATATTACACAAAGTCATAGTAGAAAACTATGGAACATTCCCTAACTTACCTAATTATAGTCATCGGAATATAAACTGAGACTTAAATGTTATAGTCACCATCATACTTACTCGGTTTTGAGTTTACAATCTTTCCTATAGAAACATACATCCTGTATTGTCAGATCGATTTCCAAGAATTTTACTTTTCATGCCTGTAGGTTCAACTTAATGTAATATAGAGGTTTTATGAATTAAATAAATGTTTGAATGTAATCAAATGGACTATGTCAATTTGTAATAATAGTTTATAGAGAAACCTGAGTGTGGTATGTGTGTGTGTGCATTTGCGTGTAAACACTGATTTTTAAAAGATTTTTGTCTTCTCTATTCATATCTATCTCTCCATTTATCTACTCGTGTATAGTCAATACAGTACTTAAGAGATATAATCCAATGGTATTTTACGATAAGTTTTTTTTTTAATTTTATTTTTTATTATCATCATCATAATCTTCTTTATATTACATTGGATTACATATAACTTTACAGTGTATTACATTGTTTTTTCAAAAGGGAATGCCATGCATGTCCGTAAGTACAGAGACATTAATCTCCCCACTTCAACATTCAATATCTTTTCTGTTTTCCCCAATCATTATTTTTATTATTCTAATTATTTTTTAAAACAGTCAATTGCTATTTCTCATTTTGCTTGTATACGATAAGTTTTTTGTGTTGTTGTTTTTTTTTTTTTTTTTTTTTTGGTACAACACTTTTGTTTTTTTTTTTTTTTTTTTGGTAACAAGCCTAATGAATTTAAGCATCTCAGAAATTCTTTGAAGTTGATACTATAATGACCATGTTACAGGTGAGGAAAACAAGTGAAAGGTCACAGGCAGAGCACCCTGGTGATCTAACTTTCAGGCCTGGATGGAGGGGCCTTGGTCAGGGAAAAGGAGGGAGAGACCCAGTGTCCTTCCTTTCCTCACCTTTGAAAGGGAGCCATTTCATTCTCTGCAGTCTTGGTCTCTTTAGTTTTGGGGACTACCCAATGTGGTCCAATCCAGGGGTGGCGACTTGTACTAGGAATATGACAGTGGGAGGTGGAGGGGAGACCGGAGAAGTGGAGGATGTGAAGAGGGTAAAGATAGTTTTGGGAAACAGATGTTAAGGATTCAAGAATTTGGGAATGATACTCTACACTTGAAGGG